ACGGTGATAGGATAAGCTCCAGTTGCCATAGATTCTCTGCGCATGTCTGCGAACAGACGGGCAATCTTATCTTGCTCAATCTGGTAAAGCTTGGGTCTGCACTTCTCCCTCGCGTAGAGAATGTACTTCCTCAACAGATCTTGTGGAATCTCACCCTCCTTGATTGGGGCGTCGCCGTCGACTTCCATTTGGTCGTCGCCGTTCTGTGTCGCCTTTGCCTTGTCAGAGTACCCATATGCTGAGTTGACAAGAGGATGAGCGCGACCGTGGGAGTTTACCACAAACTTAGCCAAGCGTTCATCCTCCGCTGGGTCAACAGTATCGCGCACGACACACAAAATATCGAATCGAGACAAAATAGGCTCGGTAAGCTCCACGTTCTGCGAGAAAGGAATTGTTGAGTTGTATCGACCACCAATGGGGTTAGCAGCTGCTACGATGGAACAGCGAGCTTGAAGGGTTGTGACGATACCAGCCTTGGAGATGGAGATAGTCTGTTGCTCCATGGCCTCGTGAATGGATGTTCGGTCCTGGTCATTCATCTTGTCAAACTCGTCGATCAAACAAGTACCCTTATCGGCAAGCACAAGCGCACCACCCTCAAGCGTCCACTCGCTAGTCATGGGATCACGACGGACGGAAGCAGTAAGACCAACCGCGGAAGCACCCTGACCAGTGGCGAAGACAGCACGATGGGCGGTCTTTTCGACGTACTTCAGAATCTGGGACTTGGCAGTACCGGGATCTCCAAGCAACAGAACGTTGATGTCACCACGGATGGAGTGACGACCAGGAGCTTCTTTGCTGACACCTCCAAACAGAGAGAGCGCCACAGCAGTCTTGATGTCAGTGTGTCCGTAGATGCTTGGAGCGATCGAGTTGATGACTTTGTCCACAATGCGAGGGTCCTTGGACAGTCGTCGAATCTCCTTCTCATCGTCTTCGGTCAACCGGAAGCCAGCCAGCTGGTCGTGAGACTTGACCACGTAGTTGGCCTCCAAGATAGTTGCAAAGACTGGGAAACCGTTCTTGTTGTTCAAAGCCGCATCGTAGTTGTTACGGTAGATGCCGGTGACTTCAATCTCCTCACCAGGCTTCGCCGAGTCGATCAAGTCCCAAAGAAGGATGACCTCCCGATGACGGGGCAAACGTCCTGCCGGTACAGTGCCTGGAGACTCTTGTAGAGTGAGCTTTTGGTAGTTTCGGTAGACTGTCCGCTCGGAGTTCACTGTGAAAGGACCGCGCGATTGGCAGTTCTGGCAGAAAGAGATCTTGACCTCAACGTTTGAATCTTGGTGGAAGGGACCCAGAGTGACGCCGCACTTGGTGCAATCAAACTTGACGTATTTGAGTTGAGGGAAGACTCCGCTTCGGCGGGTGACGACTCCACTGACACGAACCAGACTGTTGAGATGCGACTGACGGAGCTGGCGGAGTGTATATTGAACAGGCACGTCGGTGATACGGACGTGAATCTCGGAGTGGATACGCTCGTAGTCTGGGTAGTGGAGGAGAGCGACTTCCATGGCCACCTGGTCGAAGATCTTCAACATCTCGGTGGGCGTGTTGGCCAGCCAGTATGCCAATGTAGCCTTTTGCTCGGCAAGGTGGTCGAATGAGACTTCCAAGGACTCAGCGTTGACCTCTCCCAATGTTCGGATGCGGGCTCCGTAGACCGAGTGGCCATGCTCGTCGGTGTATTCTGTCAAGAAAGATTTGAATTCGCGCGCAATAGTCCTGGCGACCTGAGGCTGAGCGACCCAATCTGTCAGGGTGTTGGCCTTCACATCGGTGAGGGCCTCAAGCGTCAATTCCTCGTTCATGATATCGTTGTCCATGTCCATGTCGTCTTCTTCGTCATATCGATTTCTCCGAACACGACGGCGTCCCATAAGACCTGCAAGGCCATCCGTCTCGTCTTCATCTGGCAGGAAAGCAGCGGGCATGCGACGTCTTGCCTCTCTGTCACGGGCATTAAGTCGCGCATCAAGCTCTCGCCTTTGCGCGAGACTTAATTCTTCATAGTCTCCCTCGTCATCGATGCCCTGACCTTCATAGGCATCGTTCTCGCGGGCTCCGTAGTCGTTCTCAAAGTCGTCGGCGAACAAATCAATTCCTTCCGCCTCTTCTGCGTCTTCATCGAGATCGTCTACGTCGCGAATGATGTCGTCATCGTCGAGCATGTCTGCATCGTCGTCTTGTGGGAGCATAGGTGGCGACGAGGCCATTGCTGTACTTGTTTAGCCATTGTTGTGTCGCATGTTTTTGTCGCACTCACGGCTGGACGGCGGATGCGCCGCTGAGGAGGGGAGATCGTCATCGTCCCTTGCGCGTTTGTTGCTCCTGCTGCTAGGGCCTACGCCACGGTTTGCGGACGACATGTTGGAGCGAAGGGGTGGTGGTGGTGAACTAGTGTTCGTCAATATCTTGTTGTGGTAAAGAGGGGCTCGTCGTTGCTCGGCCTACGAGTCTCGTCGAACCTGAGACACATACCTCATGTTCACTTAAAGCACGGTTCTTTACTGGTATCACCGGGATAAAGTAAAGTGATATGGGGCTGCGAAGCGGGGTTGAGGGTGCGGGAGAAGGGGTAGTAAGGACCAGCGACACGACCGCGTCGCGCTTTCCTTTTCCACGCGTAAAGTGGTGATGCGGTAGCCAATCAGCGATCAGGCGCATCCAGCGCCTTCCTCACTGCTCACACCAAAGTTTCCCACGCACTTCCACGACCGATTTTACTCTGCTAGTATCTCGCATTCTGACGAATTTTGATCTTGTGTTCTACATCGAATTGCTTTCCATCTCGAATTAAGTGGTTACGCGTTATCGCAATCATGGCGGATTCCCAGTCAACGACCATGTCCGAGAAGCCGCGCACCAGCAGCATATCGCAAGCATCGGAGAGCTCACAAACAGCGGCTGAGTACGTGTCTTCCATGCTCTTGTCTGTATGGAGACTTAATCAATTCCGTCAGCTTTATCAAAGAGCAACTTAGCCTCGAGGCAGAAGCACGCGAGGCTCTCCCCTACGTCAGTACCCACATCCTCCGAATGCGCCTCGACTGACAAGAAACAGCAATTCGATACCTGCATACGCGACCTCGGCCCTCTGCGACAGAGCCTTTACGCATGCCTCACCTGCAACCCCGCGCCCGCATCGTCTGCCCAGCAATACACTCCAGCAGGCGTCTGCTACTCATGCTCCATCTCCTGCCATGGCGAACATACCCTTGTTGAGCTATTCAACAAGCGCAACTTCATATGCGACTGTGGAACTACCAGGATACCGGATATGACGCCATGCACACTTCGTCTCAACGCAGAAACTGGACGTAAAGGCGACGTGACGGGCGAAGAGCCAGCCAAGACGAACAAGTACAACCAGAACTTCAGGAACAAATTCTGTGGCTGCGGCGAGGACTATGATCCTCAACAAGAGAAGGGCACCATGTTCCAATGTCTCGGACTTGGGACTTGCGAGGAGGGCGGCTGTGGTGAAGACTGGTGGCACCCTGAATGCCTCGTAGGCTTCACTCGGGCGGAGTACAGCAAGATGATTGAAAAGCCTAAAGTGGAAGAGAAGAATGACAAGGTAGATGCGATGGAGACCGACAAACCCGCAACAGACAACACCAAGACCAACGGTCACGCGGACGAGAATACGGCATCACTTCCAGCGGACATCGCAGCTGCAATTACAAATGGCAATGGGGTTGATGGCAACGATGTTGCAGCAGATGCTGGGGCAGAAGAGGAAGATGACCCCCCGCTGCCTCCAGGCTTCCCTGAAGAAGACGACTTCGATCACTTCCTCTGCTACAAGTGTGTCGAGGCCAATCCATGGATCAAACAGTACGCTGGCTCAACTGGGTTCCTCGCACCAGTATACCACGACAAAGCCATGGCGCTTTCTCATGCCCAGAAGCCCCCCGTCTCAGCCCCAGATGACAGCAACGGCGACTCCAAGAAACGCAAAGCTTCCGACGAAGACGAACAGCAGCAGACATCATCCCACTTGACAGCTCCAGCTCCGGCTAAGCGCCAAAAGTCCGAAGATCCAAGCGGCACACTCTCCAGCACCCCCGAAGACACAACGACGCTGCCCATAACCCCCAAGAAGCCAGAAGCACCAGAAGGCCCAAAGCACGCTTCCCTCCCCCCTCTTCCCGTAGCCGCACTCACAACGCCATTCTCCCTCTTCCTCAAGCCCGACTTCCGCGACCACCTCTGCCACTGCGACGCCTGTTACCCACACCTAAAAGCCCACCCGCAACTCCTCGAAGAGGAAGACACCTACGAGCCCCCCGTCTCCGAAGACGGAGAAGAAGGCGGACAGTCCGTCGGTACAGGAAGTATTCTCGATCGTGGTGAAGCCGCCTTCAACAACATGGACCGCGTGCGTGCTATCCAAGGTGCAATGGCGTATGCGCATCTCAAAGACAAGGTCTCGGCGTTCTTGAAGCCGTTCGCTGAATCGGGTCAGGCTGTTGGTGCGGAAGATGTTAAAGCGTACTTTGAGAAGCTGAGGGGTGATGCGCAGGGTATTCAGGAAGCTGCTGGCGATGCGAAGGCGAACAGGGATGATGATGCGGAGGGTGGGGCTGAGGGCGGTGGCAGGAAGGAGCAGAGTGGGTATTAAGTGTAGACTCATCTACTCGAAGTGTTGAAGATGTGAAGACGAGATTTGTGGGAGTATGTCGTGCATCCTATGTGCAAATGATCTCCAGCTAGCTTGAAATTGGATATTGCACTTCATCGTAGCCAGTTCCCAAGGTGTCTTCGTGCTTCCGAACGTTCCATACGTCTTCTCAAGATTGACTTCACGATCACGGTCCTGCTACAAGGTATCAATTGTTTCATGTAACACAAAAATAATTCTCAAATCTTGGGTATCAAATTAAAACTACTTCCCCCCCCCTTCCACGCAACCCAGTGCAAACATCCACTACACTTTGTTACAAAAGAAACTTTTCACATCTCCCATCCCCATCCCTCACTCCTCAAGCCGTCACAGTAACAGTAGCTGTCTCCGTAACCGTCTCCTTCCCAGTCGGCGACGCAGTAACCGTCACGGTGAATATCTGACTCGGTGGTATCGGCGTGATGATCAGCGGGCCTTCTGATGTCGTTGATGAAGGTACTGGTTCTGGTTGTGGTGGTCCCGATGATGGCATATCTGTGGGTGCTGGTGCTGGTGGTGTTGGCACGGCGTCGGATGTAGATGCCGTTGCGGATGCGGAGACTGCTGGAGGTGGCGCGATGGAGGATGGAGATGGTTGTGCTGAAGACTCTGGAGGCGGTGCCATAGACGAGGGAGCTGATGTGGGTTGTGCCGAACTTGAGGGGGCAGGTGGCATGCTTGGTGCAGAGGAGGACGATAGCGTGGGAGTAGGCGCAGGAATCTCCGATGTCAAAGATGATGGTGCGGGTTTAGTGGGTGTCGGCATTGCTACTTCAGAAGACGAAGCTGCGAGCGTGGAAGACAAGGCCACTGAGCTTGATATGACTGGCTCTGGTACAGCGGAAGAAACGGGTATCTCGGGTGCTCCACTTGGCTGTGGTGTGGCTGTCGGCATGACTGTAGTGTACGATGTTACGATCACTACAGGCGGGACCTGGAGGGATGCTGATGGGGATACTTCAGCCGGGGCGTTTGATGGAGCGGGCATGGGAGTGCCAGCCACTTCTGATGTTGAAGAGGCTAGTGGGGCAGACTCTTGAGCCTCAGTTGGTATAGCTGACTCTTGAGTAGATGTTTGAGGCGGCTGGGATGTCGCGTAGATAGTGGTGTATTGCGTGACGATGATGCGCGATGTTACATCGATGGTGTCTGAAGCAGTCTCTGAGGGGAGGATAGTTGTAGACGATCCGCTCGATACAGGGGTTGGGATTGCCAGGGAAGTTGAGTTGGCCAGAGGGGTGGAAGATGGCGCTTGTACGACCGACTCGATCACAGAAGATAGGCTGGTAATAATCGCACTGGTGGTGGTATTGACAGAGGGCGAGCCTGAGGGTGCCGCACCGGGATGAGTGAAGCCAGGCAAGCCGCCAGTGGTAGGTGCCTGGACCGCACTCGTCACCGGTGCAGTTGTGGTAGATGCTAGGACAGCACTTGACGCCGGTACGGTTGGAGTGGCAAGCGAGGTGGACGTCTCTTCTATGGGCGAGTAGGTGAACATAGGAGCCTTTCGACTTGTCTCGCTTGCTGTCTTGTTTTCCACGGCGGCAACCGAACTTGATAATGCCGACGATACTGGCACATCGCTGCTCTCTGTGGGCGTTGGTTTCGGACTTGGTGTGACTGAGGATGTAGCCGCTGCGCTTGAAGTCTCCTCCGGGGTTGGCAGAGGTGATGGTGTGATGTAGGAAGTAGAAAACACAGTCTGCGGATCTTGTGTCACGAGTGGTTTCCCGTCAGGAAGAACGAACGTGATAGCTGGTGCTATTGAAGAGAAGATGGTTTGCTGGATGGGCTCCACTATGATAGCGGTCTCTGCCTCTGCAAGTTGCTGTCTTGATGTTGATGCGATTGTCGAAGTAGTGTTGGCGTAACTAGGAATACTACACGAAGTCAGTGCTTGTTCCTCAAAGTGTCTGCTTGAGTTCCTCACAGTTGTCTTCGGTGGTTCTTTGGAACTGGACCAGCGGTTATGGATGTAGAGCAAGCTGCCAGCAGCAGAATTGTGGAGAAGATAGCCATCGTCAAGACGACAAATTATTAAGAGTGGGTGAAGGAAAAAGACGGCGCTTGCAGGCAGAATAAGGAAGCGATGGACTGAAGGACGAAACTGAGATAGTGAACGATTAAGAGAAACGATCGACAGACGGTAAGGAAAGACACCTAGGAAAGAAACGAAAATCGTTCGTCTCAAGCAAACCACAAGCTAAACGTTCAGATGGCTACGGCGGTGTCTCATTGCTACGCGGGCTGGCATCGGGTTTTGAAGCTGCATTAGCCGCCTTGAGCACGGTTTGAGTATACAATGGAACAAAGAGTAGTACTGGCCCAGCATGGCTCCATTTGCCTGTAATTTGGGCGTGTCACTCAAGCTCCATAGGAAAGTAGCGCTGGTTACTGGAGGAGTGGCTGTGGTGCTCTGATGCGCTGGGTACATGTTTCATCCTCGGGCCAATGAGATGGCGGCATGGCCTCGTCGAGCCCACGACCTTGAAGCGCCTGGCCGAACGTCTGCTACCCGCGCAGAGCCTCCAGGTCTCCATATGCCAGAAATAACTCTTCGGAAGGAGGCTCGATTCCGCGATCCGAAGTTTGTCAAGTGTTGCCGGCTTCCGCGTCTTCATGCAGTATGTGCTGTCTCTCGGCTGTTGGATGCGCAAGAGACCGGAACCCTGTGGGGATTTCTCCACAACACCAAGGTCGAGGTCACGATAGAAGACGACCTAGATGCCTGCAAGCATCAGCTATAGCTATCGACGATATTGTAGTGGATCGAGATGTGTTGGCGGGTTTGCACGTGCCCGATGTTCATTCGTCTGGGCGGTTGAGGGTCGCTCGGGGCAACAGGCGAGTTTCGACAAGGAAGGACAACACAGACCGCCATTTACGCTAGGACAGGCCCTTTGCATGTCGCCAGAGCCTCGAGTCTCGACGTCGCGTACGGTAGGTCTGGCATTCCTTTCTCTGTAGACGTAGAGTTTTTCGTATCTTTTCACCCTATCGCCATCCTCCTTGCCGGTCTGCACCATGAGCGTACGCGTCGTCGCGAGGATACGTCCTCTACTGAAACAGGAGCTCGACAAAGACACCATCGTCACCGCCGAGACATTGGAGGGCGACACCACCCCGGCGGTCGTGCGGATACCGAGTCCGAAGAACGAGGCCGAGTCCTTCAGCTTCCAGTTCAGCTCTGTGTACGAGCAGGACGCGACGCAGCAGCAGCTTTTCGATGCCGAGAGTGAGTTCGCGACGGACGCGTTTCGGACCTGAATTGACTCCAAACCAGTCGCGCCGACGGTGAAGCACCTGTTCAATGGCTTCGATCTATCTATTTTCGCGCATGGCTGCACCGGCACCGGCAAGACGCATACGATGCGCGGAGGGAAGTCGCTGGCGGACCGCGGTGTCATCCCAAGACTGTTGAGCTCGATATATCGACGCTGCAAGAAGATCGAGAAGGACACGGCTGGTGCCACACACGTCGAGGTCGCCCTGGAATACTTCGAAATCTACTGCGATCGCGTCTACGATCTGTTCGAACCGCCGGAGAAGCGCACCCCGTCTGGCCTGCCCATCCGAGACAACAAAGGCAAGACTGTCGTCGTTGGTCTTACAGAGAAACCATGCACAACGCTTAAGGAGTTTGAGCAGCTTTATGACCAAGCCAACATGAACAGGTCAACATCCGCTACTAAGGTGAGACTTCACACGCATTAGAGGTAAACATCGCTAATGATACTGCAGCTCAACGCACATTCCTCCCGATCCCATGCCGTTCTCTGCGTGAAGATCACGCAAACCACCGAAGACACGGTTCGCGTCAGCCGAGCATCCTGCATTGATCTTGCAGGATCCGAAGACAACCGACGAACCGAAAACAACAAGGAGCGTTTGGTTGAGAGCTCGGCCATCAACAAGTCATTATTCGTACTTGCTCAATGCGTTGAAGCTATGAACAAGAAGGCCAGCCGGATCCCGTACCGCGAGTCCAAGATGACGAGAATCTTATCGCTAGGTCAGAATAAGGGCTTAACTGTCATGATTCTGAACCTTGCACCGACCCGCGCATACCACCTCGACACCATTAGTTCCTTGAACTTCGCCAGCCGGACGAAGAAGATCGAGGTCGCAGAGGTGGAGAACGACCCCATGTACAGGACAGCAGTCAAACCATTGGCGATAACTAGTAGTGTCGGTGGAGCAACAATCTCACGGCAACCGCTGCGATCCATCGCCGCCGCACACAACGCCAACATTCCGGAGCCGGAGAAGGGCAAGAAGGGAGAGAAGCCTACCAAGGCCTTCTCCGTATACTCCGACGCTCGCAAGGCTGCTGCTGCTGCTGCTCCTCGCGTTTCTAACCTTGCACAGAACCAAGGAGTACGAAGGACTGAGGGTTCTAAGCGAGCGGCTGAACCCAGCAGCACCTTCGCAACGCGACCGACGAAGGCATTCCGAACTGGGGATAACACCTCACGGATACCAAACAGAGAGCCCGCTCTGACCAAGGCTTCGATCGAGGCTCTCATTGCACAGAAGGTGGACGAGAGGCTGGCAGAAAAGGCATTGCAAGATGCAGGTACCGCTGCGCCAGCGCTTTCTGCAGAGCTGCAAAAGCGGTTGGATGAGCTGGAACACCGTATCGATGCACACGAGGAAGACGGAAAGTCGCAGGGCCTGCAATTCCTGCTTATGGCGAAGCAACATCACATGCGCGGAGAGGATGCCAGCGCACTTAGAATGTACCACCTGGCCCAGCCCTTCTTCCCCGGCAACGCAAAGTTAGAATCCAAGATGAAGGCCCTCGAAGACCGGATACGCGCAAAGAAGGAAGAAACCACCAAGCACGTCTCCGCCCCCGTAGAGCTACCCTCGCACACCGCCGCCGCGGCGCCCCCCTCGAACCTCCTCATGGCCCCCCTCAAAGCCATCGAAAAGAAACAGTCGAAGCCAAAGATGGTTTACAAAGACGACTCCGAAGACGACGAAGAATTCGCTCCCCCGCCCCCCTCCGACCACGAAGACTCCTACGCCTCCGACACCAGCTTCCAGTACACCAGCAAATCCAAGCCCGCCCGCAAACCGAAAAAGACGACTAAGAAACTGCCCATCTTCCGCGACGACACTGCCCCGACCACGACCACGACTCTGACTGCTACTACCACCACTGCCGATGTCCCGTCTCACTCTGCCCCTGCCTCTGTCCAACAAACCCCTCGTACCAGCCACCTCCTCAAGATCATCAACTCGCGCGACGTCAACCAGATCAAAGCGTTAAAAGGTGTCGGAGCAAAGAAAGCGGATAACATCGTGAACTGCCTCGTTGAAATGGATGATGCTGAGATAATGGATTTGGAATCGCTGGCTATGCTGAAAGGTGTGGGGGGCAAGACGGTAGATAATATGAGACTGGGGTTGAGCGTTGTTAATACTTCTTATGATTTCTAGAGCTTCGGCTTGACTTTATTGTTGTTCGAATTTTTTGGGGGAGAGTTAGAAAGCATGGTGTTTGCGGCGTTTTGGTTGTGGATGCGCGCTCAGTGCGCGCGTAGATTTTATTCACATTGCATAGAAAAGGCGTTTTGGGTTTGGCAGCTTAGGCTGTCTTGCATTTCGCATTCTGCATAGGTCGGTTCTTAGGAAACCAAGACTATTTCTTCATCACTACACGGTTGCTTCACGCTCAAATTTTGCTCGTAACGTGCGATGTTCTGCATCATTCATGCTATCATTATCATACAAGACCGTAACTTTCAATCTCAGCCCACAAGAAAGATCCCACAATCACTCACTCAATCCCAACTGCAGCGGGAGCATCTAGAAAGGCCACACCCAGTCTTCCGTCTCCTTAGGATCCATACCCTCATGGTACGCATAGTTCTTCGCCTTGATCTGCTCATCAAGCAGCTTCTCCCTCGTCGCCGCACCCTTGTTACCCAAGCTGGGAATATTGTCAAGAGCATCAATCGCCAAGCTATAGCGATCAGTACCGTTCCTGATGGCCAGCTCGAGAGGAGTGTCGATATTGCCCTTCTCCCGGTATCCGCGGACAAGCAAGTTCTGCTGGCCCTTGCGGCCATATGTCAAGCGGTGGATCAACCAAGGGTAGGAATGGAAGTTGAAGATGCAGGGTACGTTGTCAGTGAAAATGGCCTTGTACTCATGCGCCTTGAGGCCGTGGGGGTGCTGGTCCTCGTCGATGAGTTTGAAGAGGTCGACGACGTTTACGAACCGGATTTTAAGGTCGGGGAGGTGTGTGCGGAGTAATGCTGTTGCGGCGAGGGACTCGTGGGTGGAAACGTCACCGCACGAGGCCATGACGATGTCGGGCTCTTGGTCCTTGTCGTTACTTGCCCATTCCCAGATGCCGACGCCCTTGGTGCAGTGGGCTATGGCTTGCTCCATGGTGAGGTACTGGAGGTGCTCCTGCTTGTCGGCAACGATGACGTTGACGTAGTTTTCGCTGCGGAGGCAGTGGTTCATTGTTGAGAGCAGGCAGTTGGCGTCTGGTGGGAGGTAGATGCGGACAACCTCAGGGCTCTTGTTCGCTACGACGTCAAGGAAACCTGGATCTTGATGGGTGAATCCGTTGTGGTCTTGTCGCCAGACAGTGGCAGTAAGCAGGATGTTGAGTGAAGCAATCTTCTGTCTCCATTCGACTTCGAGACACTTCTCGATCCACTTGCAGTGCTGGTTGACCATGGAGTCGATGATGTGGATAAAAGGCTCATAGCTGTTGAGCAGACCGTGACGTCCAGAGAGGATGTAGCCCTCTAGCCAACCCTGAGCAAAGTTAGCATTGGAGCACCAAGCAATGGTGTGTGTCTTACCTCTACAGTGTGCTCGGACAGCATCTCCATAACGCGTCCTGCATAGGCCAGGTTGCCACCATCCTCGTCTTCCTCAAAGTACTCGCCCATCCAGACTTTCTTGCCCGCCTCGTACACCTTACCCAGCTTGTTGGATTCGGTCTCGTCGGGGCCAAAGAGACGGAAGTCTTTCTGGTTATCTCTGATGATATC